TGGAGTAATAACTTCTGCTGTTTAACTGATTGGAGATCTCTTAAGATGCTGCTGTATTGAACATGGCACCTGATGACTAATTTACTTTTTCTTTGTTCCGTGTCATTTTGCTTTTTTTAATGTCTGATTAATCACGGGTTCCCTCTTACATAATCCTCTGGGGTTCCCTTAGGCATTTATGCACAGGCACACTCTTCACTCTGCACTTATTGAGGATGCGCAAAAAACATAGATTAAAATGCAATTATATTTAGATAGAATGGAAGATATAGGTTGTACTGCATGTTAGCTTGCTTATTGTGCCCAAGAGAATAATTAATTTTAACCCATATGTCTCATTAACAAGAAACTATGCTTCTAACCACAGGTCAAGAGCTGTAGTTTCAACCACGTAAGTTTGCGACGCTGTTTGCGAATGTTCGTGTGAACGCTAGTTACGCATGTAACTGTGGTTCTGTGAATTCCGGATGACCGCCAGAGGCAGTGTAAACACTATGGATTATCGCAGCACCAGCTAGATAGATTGAGAGAATATACAAACAAAGTCACATAGTGACGAATGCTGAGCCATGGGGGGTTATAAGCCACCGTAGCTCAGCACTCTGCCTCGTTACGCCTTTCTCGCGCATTCCGAGTGACCAAGAACTCTGGCGGTCATCCGGAATTCACAGAACCACAGTTACATGCGTAACTAGCGTTCTGTTTCATTCCTACTGACCGCCAGAGGCAGTGTAAACACTTATGAATGACACATACCAACATAGTCATGAGGAATGCCACCCACCTGATGTAAATTAAGAAGAACCGCAGAACTAACGGCATTAGGGCCTTTTGTCTGGTGGGATCTAGCCGCAAACTGTTGTTCCATAACTGTAGTGGTCTGAGGTGGCGTAAACCCAGGGGAATCACCACTGTGGCCGCCATTAACATCCCTATTAGTCGCAGGACCACCTCGTACTACAAAGACACACCCTGGCGAAAGCGAGCCAAAAGTTGCAGAATGTTTGTCACACATACCTGAGACAGGGAGGCAGACATTAGGTGGGAATTCAGGGTCATTCCTATGAACGTAGTGGTCTGTGTTGGAATCAGACAGCTCTTTTTCTCGTTCACAGTAAAACCGAACTTCCGCACATATCTCAAAAGTAGTCTGGAGTCTTGCACAGCCTGCTGTTTCGTGGGGGCACAAAGAAGCCAGTCGTCTAAATAGGGCAGAATATGCATACCTCTTATCCAAAGAGGAGAAAGAGCTGTGCTCACACACCTTGTGAAGACGCAAGGAGCAAGGGAAAGCTCGAAAGGTAGCACTTTGAACTGGTACGCTTGATTCAAGAAACTGAAACACATAAACTTTCTGTGATGAACAGCAATTGGGACGTGAAAGTTTGCATCTTTCAGGTCGACACTTACAAACCAATCGTCTGCTGTCACAGACCGAAGAACGTCAGCTGTGCGCAGCATTTGAAAAGGAAGGACCTTCAGGAACAAATTCAGGTGCCTCAAATCGAGAATTGGGCGGAAACCACCGTCCTTCTTCGGAACAAGAAAATATGTCGAATAGAACCCGTCTCCTTGAACGAGGGGATTAACTTTTTCTATGGCTCCCTTCTCTAACAGTGAACAAATTTCCAGAGAGAGAGCCATTGTACGAACTCCATCTCTGATGATTATAGGAACAATTCTTGAAAATCGGAATGTCTCAAGCTTTATGTGTGCAACTTTTAGTGGTCGCGCTGACGGGGTCCCCCTGGCAACTGTCGATGAGGTAGCCGAAAAACTCTCACATCCTCAGTAACACGAGACCTTTGAGGGGGCTGTGACTGAGGTGTAGCGTGCCGGCGGAAATGTTGCTCTGATGTGGCATAGTGATGACGGGTCTGAACTGCTGGCATCCTAAAGGTAGGGTTGTGCTGCACCTGCGTCAGCTGACGAGTGGCCTCAGACAGCTTTACCCTCTTTTCCAACAGTTCCAGAACATTAGGATCAAAAAGATGCCCAGGAATAAATGGAAGATCTCTCAAGGTTTTCTTACAGTCCTCAGGTAGCCGTGCTTGGGCAAGCCACACTTGGCAGCGGGCTGCCAGGAGCGTGGCTGTAAGACTACCCAGCTCGCGGGTCACATGGCCCATTGCCAAGAGAGCAGTTTGCAGAAACTGTGAAATAGAGGGATCAACATTTGCGGGTTCCAACGTACTGGTGGCAGCAAGAAGTAACTGGCAAATTGGGTTTTCCGCATGAGTAATGTAGGCAACAGACTCGTATGCCTTTTTTAGTAGTGAATCCCTCCGACCATATTGAGCGCTGGGACGTCGCACATTCCCTCGTAGTGCCTCGTCAGGAGACACCACCAAAGCTGCAACAGGCTGCTCTATCTCCGGAGTATGACTCACCCCGATGGAATCTGCTTCAGCCATAGATGCTAGCGTCCGAGCAATCTTTGAGTGCTGCTTAGGTGGACCAGAACCTTTACACAGTGGCATGGTGAAAGAAGTCGCAGCTGTGGCCTGTCTGAAAAAAAATTTGTTTGGGCAAACTGGACCGGTGACTCATCAAGTCCTAGACGAGCAATTTGTCATTCGAAGTACAACCAAAGTATCATCGGAAGAGGACTGGGTCTGTCCAGATGACTGAACTGACCCTCCGCTAGACCCCTCTGCTGC